AGGGTGATTGCCACCAACCCTAACAATCTGAGTTTGACTCTGGGAACCCACATGTTGGAAAATTTTAATTCTTGTTTGAAATGAGAACCTTTGAATAATTGTAACATAGAAAACCACAAAACTCTACTGAGCCACTGTAAAAACACCAAAGTGAAATCCTCTCAGGGTCTCAAGACTTAAATGTATACTGTTCTTCAGCCTACCAGGCTCTCTCTCTCTCTCTTAGTCCCTTAGTCCCTGTCTCTCCTCAAGCTCCCTCTCATTTCCAACTTTATTCTTTTTTTTTTTTTTTTTTTTTTTTTTTTTTTTTTTTTTGAGACAGGGTCTTACTATATAGCCCTGGATAGCCTCAAACTTAAGAGTTCCCCCTGCCTCTGCCTCCTGAGTTCTGGGATTAAAGGTGTGTATTATTATACCCACCCTTACCCCTTATCTTAATAAATTTGATAATGTGACTCCATTCTAACTTTTCATGAAGCTCATGCCTATGTTATAGTCAAGAATCCAGCCCAGGGAATGGAGAGATGGCTCAGCAGTTAAGAGCACTGCCTGTTCCTCCAGAGGACCTAGATTCAGTTCCCAGCATCCACATGGTTCCTTACAACTGTCTGTAACTCCAGCTTCAGGAATCTGATGTCTTCATCTGGCCTTCACAGGCCCCAGGCATGCACATGTAGGGCAGACATTAGTTTTTTATGTTTATTTTGTTTTTAATTATTTTATCTTATGTGTGTATGTCTGAGCGCCACAGGTGTGCATGTCACTCAGGAAGCACTCTGTCACAGAGCTACATCCTCAGCCCTTGTTGTTTGGACTAGCTTTTCATATACTGCAGGCTGGCCTTGATCCTTTGGCCTCAGCCTCTTAACTTTCCACCTTGCTGAGTCTGATGTCACTCTGCAGCACTGGGGAAGGAGGCTGCCTACCGCCCACCACACTAGAGGTCTGTGATGATCTCTTCACCCCTGCAAGGGCTGTGCTGGTTTTCACTGACCAGAACAGCAACATGTCAAAATCTGGAGAAATCTGGTGGGCACAAATTTGCCAAAAGTCTGGTGGTTAGATTCCCTATAGTTCAGTTTGGGCTCACAGTGCTTCGATAACCCAGAGCCTCAGAAATCAGAGCTGCTAAAACCACCAGTAACTCTGGACACCATGAGAAGAAAGCAGGGAGATTCTGAAACAGTTGCAGTTTTACCTCTGGCGAAAGCTAATGATAGTGTATACCCATATCATCACAAGGCAGTGAGACCTTTTCTAAATGCAAAATTGTTTCTAGAAATGTGTTAGTTTGCTAAAATGTCTTGCTAGTTTTAAATGCCTCCACCCTTCATCGGCCTGGGCATATAAACCCTCCTGCGGAAACTCATGTGTGTGGAGGTGATCCTTCTCAACTAAGCTTGCCCTTTTGTTGACACTGGTATTCACTCTGGCCTAATGTAGCTTCAGTAGGACCAGAGCTGATTAGATGAAAGTATAACAGGGTGGGTAGGGTAGATGAGTGGGTGGGAGGGCAAATGGTGGGCAGGCTGGGTAGCCAGATAGGTGGGTAGAAGCTGATTGGTTGTGGGAGGGGTACAATCCTCGCACCTTGGAAGCCAGTGTGCAGGAGAATAAAGGGAAGGGAGTATCGGTGGGTTTGTGAGTGAATGAGTTGCCGCTGAACTTGGGCTCTGCATGTCACCGGGCTCCCTTGGACAGTCAGATGAAGATCTGGGGACCAGACTGAGGTGGCAAGTGGGTGAAAGAATTCCCCTACCTTTCTACTCCCTCCCCACCCAAAGTCTTTTTGTCTCCTTTTGTTCTCAGTGTTTTTGTTTTGTTTGGGTGGGGACAGGATTGTTTTTTGTTTTTGTTTTTTGAGACAAGATCTATGCAGCCTATTTTGGCCTCCAAAATGTGATTCTCTTGCCTAAGTTTCTCAGGTGTTGGGATTCTAGGCTTCGGACACTAGACCTAGCCCTAGCTTTCTCTGAAGGAGGGTCTCAGTCTGCAGCCCACCTGGACTAGAACTGGTTATGTAGACTTGACTGGCCTTGAACAGGCAATCCTCTGGGCTATGCCTGGTGAGTGCTGGGAATGAAGGCGAACTCCACCATCACCAGCCTAATCTTGGGGACCAGATAGATGCTGTATTTAGTATCCCTAGCACTCGCCTATTGTCTTTTTGGAATCCCCAAAGCAGGTGGAAATCAAGCCGTGAGTTTGCACTGCCCTCTGGTGGTCATCAGGACATTAGTATGAATTTTCCTTTTTTATTGTTCTCAGCTCCACCCCAACTCCCATGCACAGGTACAATCTCCACAAGGACAAATATTTCTGTCTGCTTGCTCAGTGTTTTATATGCAGTATTTATATGCAGTATGTGCCTGGCATCCATGGAAAGGAGTGCAGAGTGCTTTCAAATTCTGCCCACCACTGTGTTGATATGTAACTCTCAGTCCCTGTTTCTTCCCTTCACATCCACCAGTCTGCCCTGCCGATACCATAGACAGTAATCACCTTTACTTAGCAAGTCAAGTTGACCATTTGTCAAATGGGCTTCACACTGGGTGTGGGGCAGCCTGGAGAGATGATGTAGCCCTAGTCCCAGGCTGGCCAGGAAACCAACCACCAAGAGGGAAGGATGACCTCTCTTCCACCATCTACTCCCTCCAGCCCCCTGAGCCACACCCAGCCTCTCTGCCCCCTGAGCCCTCCAAGAGGTTCTAGCCTCTACCCCAGCATTTCTCAACCTTTGGGTCTTGACCCCTTTGGGGGGGTGCATATCAAATAATCTGCATATCAAACCTTTACATGATAATTCACAACAGTAGCAAAATTACAGTTATGAAGCAGCAATGAAAATAATTTTATGGTTGGAGTCACCACAATGTGAGGAACTATATTATTAAAGGGCCACAGCATTAGGAAGGTTGAGAACCACAGCTCTACCCACACTGGAGTCTGTTCCACTGGCAAAACCCACATTCAAGCCTTCCCAGGCAGCTGCCTCCCAACACCCTGTCCCTCTCCAAATGCATCTTTCTTCGGAGGACTCTGCACTGAAAATAGGTTTATCTCATTTTCTAGCTTGAATCTGATTGTTGTTGGGACGCAGTCCAAAGCCTCTGACTTACCATTTTGTGGTCTGGAGCCAGCCCATCCCCTCATCATCTCATTTCAGGGCCCAACTTTAATTATTTCAGCTCACATTGCTGAAATTACCTTCTCTGGGCCTCTGCCCATGCAGTCGCCTCTGCCTGGAAACCCACACCCCGTCTCTCTTGCTTTACTGTGCCTGGACTCTATTTGCTTTCCTCTGGTAATGGAACCCCTTCCCAGTCCACAGGTCCAGAGAATCCTGGGAGTGCAATTCATTTCTGAGTTCAAAACTGAGCTTGAAATTTGACCTGACAGAGTTCATTAAAAATAATAACTGCAACACTAGCCAGGCAGAGTGGCCTACACTGGTATCCTAACACTTGGGAGGTGAAGGTTTAGAGACTTGTAGCTCAAGACAAGCTTTGGCTACACAGTGAGTTCCAAGGCAGCCTGGAATACATGAGCTTGCATCTAAAAGCAAAATCGAAATAGCAAAGCCGGGGATGTGACATGTGTGGGATATTTTTCCCGCCACTGGGTGCGGCCTACCCCTCTGCCTGTCCATGCCTCACTCGCCAGTTTTTGATTCTGGACCATGAATTTGAGTCTCCTAGTACACATTCCTCACTGCTGCCCCTCTCGGGCTCTAACATCACCCAGAATTCTAGATTTGGGCATCCCTGTGCCCACATTTCCTGCACTGGGGACTTGCAGTGCCCAGTTATCCCTCTTCAGAAGTGAGGAAGGAGTTGGGTCTCTCGAAGACCTGAGGGCTCTGGAGTTGAACCATCTTGCCAAGAGTGTGGCCGTGCTGTCCTGGAGAAAGGACAGGACTCAGGAGGGGTTCAGAGAGAATGTGTGCAGTGCCATGAGGCACATCCAGGCTGTGTCCATGGGAACAGCAGCCGGCTCTGCCCAGTATCTCTGCCAAGAAACTAGGTCTCCTGATGCTCAGCCTGCCAAGGGCAGGAGCATGGATGATGCGGGCCTCAATCTGTTGGGATTCAGACTGTGATGTGAGCTGAGGGTTTGTCTTTCCATGACCCCAAGGGACACCAGACAGGAAACATTTCTCAGTCAACCTAGGGCCCTTTGGATAGGGCCTCGTGGGAAAGAGCTGAGTTTTTCCTCTCCTTATAGTAAATGGTGAGAAGTGTGGACTCTGAGAGGCAGAGGAAATCCCAGAGGGAGCCCTTGGGAAGAGTCACCTCCTAGACCACCAGCACCTAGGACCTCGCATGGCACGTTCCTCCTACAACTGCTTCAGAAACTCCAGGCTTAGGTGAGGTCGGGTTAGCGCCTCAGGCACCAGCCAGGGGAATGTCCCAGCTAAAGGGCAAACCTGATGCCACATGCCTTCAAATATAAGATGTCGCTCCTGGTATGAAAAAGAGAATCGCCACACCATACATACCTACCAGTGTCTTCTTGCTGCCCACAGCTTCTCATCCACACACACAGGAAGGGTTGTTTTAAGTTAGGCGTGGTGGTGGCGGCATGGTCCGAGCAGCTGAGATGGGAGCACATTTAAAGCCAGAAGTATAAGGCCAGCCTAGGCGACGTAGTGCGGGGGGGGGGGGGGCAGGAAAGAAGATGAAGGGAGGGAGGGATAGAGCTGTGTGAAAGCTCTTGCCCATGGCCCTGGCTCCATCCTCAACACTGCAGAAAGAGAAAAGAGGACTTTGGGCTGTGCTAGCAGATCATTTCCTGGCAAATGTCTCCAGCTGCAGGCCATGTGATGTCAGCTGCCAGCTGCTGGAGTCTTGCTATGAAACACCATTTGTTAAGGGGGCAACATTTGTTTGAAAACAACTTTATGTCTTAGAATCAGTGCTGATTTCAAACATTTACTGCCCACTTTCTGTGTGGTAGTTGTCATCCACAGCCCAGTAAGATTGAACGTTTATTATACTATATTTTACAGATAAGTAAACTGAGGCAATCAAAATCAAAGTCAGCCCTGGCAGGTCACACAAGCTATCGGGAAGCTCTGGTGTCAGGCAAGTCTTGTTGGTCTCTGAACCTAAAGATGTGCGACCTGAGGGGGCCAATAAACCAGAGTAATGCTTGCTGGTAGCATCTTCAGCTTTAGGACCGGCGGGTATGAGGCACTGGAGTATCCCCTTCAGCAAACAATTTGAGGGAGAAATCCAGGGCCGGGGCAGCCTGGGTCAGCATCCCCAATGAAATTACATCAATGTGGGTCCCACAGAACTGTGGGATGTTGCCCAGGGTGACGCCCCCACTGGCTTCCACGGCCACACCAGGGAACTTGGCTTTAAGTGCAGCCGCTGTGGGGTGCAGCTCCTGTAAGATACAAGTCAAGGAGAGGTGAGAGCCGCACCCTCCTACCTCCCACCCCAGGCCCTTCCCGGTTCTGATCCATCTCACCTCAGGCTTGAAGTTGTCCAGCAGTACCAGATCAGCCCCAGCCTCTGCTGCCTGCAAGGCCTCCTTCAAGCTGCTGCATTCCACCTCTACCTTCAGAGCAAAATCTGCTGCCTGCCGGGCCCTTAGCACCGCCTTCAAGCCAATAGACACAGGGTAAGGTTGGGTGGCCTGGCACTGGACCCTGGAGGGCCCAGAGAGCTGGGCTTTGAATGACATCCAAGTAGGAAATCGACCTCCCCCGTTTACAGATGTCATCCCTGACCGTGGGATCACTTGTCACCAGGCAGTAGCAGGTAGACTCTGGTGGAGGGAACTGGAATGAGGGTCAGAAGCCGACCAGAGTGAGAACAGCAGCTCAACCAGGCACTCACCTTTTCCACGCTGCCGGCTGCCATCACGTGGTTGTCTTTGACCATCACCAGCCCTCCCAAGTCATAGCGGTGGCCTGCAGCCCCACCTATTAGGAGCCCATACTTCTCCACCAGTCGGAACCCCGGAGTGGTCTTCCTCGTGCCGGCCACATGTCCATTCCAGCCAGTGCTCCTGGCCACCTCCACAGCTGTCGCAGCCATGCTGGCAATCCCACTGCAGCGGGCCAGGGTGTTAAGGGCCACCCGTTCCCCCAGCAGCAGAAGGTGGGCAGGTCCCCTGACTTCTGCCACCTTGACCACAGGTACCAGCTTCGATCCCTCTGGGAGGAACCACGACACTTGGCAGTTGAGTTGGGTAAAGATGGCATCAAAGAAAGGTCGCCCAGCCAGAACCCCCGGAGATTTGGCCCACAGCGCAGCCTGTGCAGGAGCAGACCCGGTGACCAAGGCTGCAAAATTGAGGCTTGGGCAGTCTTCCTGTAGCCAGCTGTTTGCCAGGGCTGCTAGGGTTGTAGAGGGTAGCAGAAGCTGAATGCCTGGGGCGGGGGGGGGGAGGCAGAGAGACCACCGCGTTAGGTTTGTACTTCCTCCCTTGGCAGCCAGAGGAGACACCAAAATATTCAACAGCGATAGCCACTCAGGGTAGAGATTGGGCTGGGGCAGAGTGCAGGGACTCAGAGCTGACCAGATTGTCAGAGTAAACAAAAATACCCTGCACCTAGCTAAAGTTAAATTTTCAATAAGCAGAGAAGAGTTTCATAAGGAAGTTGTGTGTGGTGGTATAGGCTGGTAATTCCCACACTCTGGGGGGGCTGAGGAGGACCCCTCTGACCTCCTCTCAAAATAGCAGCTACAGTAATAACTAATTTGCAGAGATGGAGGAGTGATGAGCAAACAGGTCAAGACCAGGCTGGAGAAACCCACAGAAACAGCTGACCTGAACAAGGGGAAGTTCATGGACTCCAGTCTGATAGTTGGGAAACCAGCCTAGGACAACCCAGTTACATGGTGTCAGTTAGGAGGCCTGGGCAGTCTATGGGGCCTCTGGTAGTGGATCAGTATTTATCCCTAGTGTATGAATGGACTTTGGGAACCCATTCCACATAGAGGAATACTCTCTCAGCCTAGACACACGGGATGTGACAGACTTCGATGATCCCTCAAGGAAGGCCTCACCCTCCCTGGGGAGCAGAAAGGGGATGGGATGGGGGGTTAGTGGGGGGGCAGGGGAGGATGGGAGGGAGAGGAAACTGGAATTTATATGTAAAACAAGATTGTTTCTAATTTAAATTTTAAAAAAATTAAAATAATGATGATTAATAAAATGTACCCGCAGGGCATTTGCTCCTTCCTATCAAACCACGCTTCCTTTTTTCAGATTTGTTCTACATTTATTTTGTGTGTGTGTGTGTGTGTGTGTGTGTGTGTGTGTGTGGTATATATATGGTTTGGTGGGTGTGTGATGTGTGTGTGGTGTGTATGTGGTGTGTGGGGGTGGTGGTGTGTAATGTAATGTGTGTGGTATATATATATGTGTGGTGTATGTGTGTGTGGTATATATGTGTGGTGTGTATGTGTGGTGTGGGGGGGGTGTAATGTGTGTGGTGTGCATGTGTGTGGTATATATGTGTGGTGTGTATGTGTGGTGTGTGTGTATGGGTGTGTGTAATGTGTGTGGTATATATGTGTGGTGTGTGTGTGGGTGTAATGTGTGTGGTATAATATGTGTGTGGTGTACGTGTGTGTGGTGTACGTGTGTGTGGTGTGCATGTGTGTGTGGTGTGCATGTGTGTGGTATATATGTGTGGTGTGTATGTGTGGTGTGTGCATGCAGTGTCATTGCTTTTCATTGGAGGTCAAGGATAACTTGCAAGAGCTGGTTTTCTAAAACCTGTATGTCCTGGACTCTACTTCAGCTTGCCAACTTGGCAACAGGCCTTTATCCACTAACTCATCTCCCATCATACATCCTGTTTTTAACTTTAATTGACTTACAGTTAAAAACAACATGAGACAAATCTCCTAACACAGTCCAGCAGTCTTACTAATGTCACACAACTTCCCCCTTCAGAATGCAAGAGAGCCTGAAAACACTGCCTCCTCTTCCCATTCCTGTCAACTGCCCTTCTGCTTTCTGTCAGGAAATCTGAGTATGTAGGCACTTGGATCATTTTTCTGTATAGTATGTCCCAGCTGATACATTTAACAACTTGTAAGTAAATGTGACCTGTTATTGGAAATTCAGTTTTTATGTATCAAACCTAGTGTTGGGTCCAAAGCTACTAATTAACCAATAAGATATTTAATACCCTGTTCTTTGAAGATGTGGCTTGCTCAGGTGGCCCAGGTCAGCCTTGACTGACTCCTGGCCACCCCTCCTCCTTAGTGTCAGGTTTACAGACATGCACCACCAAGGATCTCTGTATTTAATAGCAAGGGCAACTTATGCATGCCTGAAGGTTGCCTCCATTCGACCTGTGTTGCCGAGGATTAACTATTTATGCCCTGAAGGCCCTTAGCAGGCTGTGAACTTCTGTCTCTTTCCTCCTAGCTTTCTCTGAAACACCAAAGACTTATTTATGTAGGGATCCAAATCAGGGCCTTGAGCTTCAGGAAATACCACCAAGCCTCACTCACAGCCAAACACTAAGTATTATGAAGCTGGAAGTTCAGGTATTCACAGCAACAAAAGACCACAGAGGAAAGGCAAACGGGCTGAGAGCACAAGGCAGCAAGGTGGCCGCAGGTTCAGAAGAAGATGTCTTAGCACGGATGCAAACTAGGCTCGGTTATGTGCTGTTCCAGAGACGAAACCGAGGGAATAGGGAATAAAGGCATGGTATCTCTAAGGTCTTTCACCTCCAAAGTATGGCACCAACCAAGGACCTTTCAGCCTTTCGGGCTGCAGAATCGGACCCAGACACGATGCAACAGTGCCACCTGTCGGTCTGTGAAAGAGCTGCAACCTTCAATCCATGTGTCTGGTTCCCTCAACTCCATCCCACCCTCTCTCCTTCACCTCTGCTGTACTAAGGAAACCAAGCTGGCCTTGAACTTCTGGCAACCAAGGGCTGGGATTACAGGCAGGAGACACCACATCCAGTTCCCCAAATAGTTTTGGACTTCCATGTTGGTCTCTGAACGTCGGTTTTGCTGAGAATCCTGTTGAGTTGGTGCAGCCAGAATGACCCTAGTGAATCTGCACCATTACATTAGTCCCTGCTCAGTTCCCAGGCTGTGGATTCCCACTTGCCACACTGTGTTGTTCAGAGTTCTTGCCTTACACTGAGAGTTCTGGATGATTCTGCTCTCTCACTTGCCTTCTGTCCACATCACTCTTTTTTTGTTTTTGTTTTTGGAGACAGGGTTTCTCTGTGTAACAATCTTGGCTGTCCTGGAACTTGCTCTGTAGGCCAGGCTGGCCTGGAACTCAGAGATCTGCCCGCCTCTGCCTCCTGAGTGCTGGGATTAAAGGTGAGAGCCACCTCTGCCCCTCTGCTGTCTTTGCCACCATGGAAACCCCAGTCACTACACCTGCCACTCTTCACTGCACTCCCCATCCCTTGTTTTGACACTCCTGACTGAGCAGCTGCCACGGAGATTGGGGGCGTGTCTTCCTGCCACTCTCAGGCCTCAGCCTGAGCAGGCTGGGCATTGCACCTGGCCTCACAGTTCCTTCCCTTGCTCCTGTCACCACTCACTCTCAGATCTAGACGGTCCCAGCAACCTGCACCACACACTGCTGTCCAGGCTTCTGCTGTATTCCAGTTGGGGGTTCAGGCTGTAATTTCAGCATGTGGGAGAGTAAGGTAGGATTTCAACAAGTCTGAGGCCAACCTGGGCTATATACAGTTAGTTCCAGAACAGCTTGGGCTACTGTGTAAAATTCTGCCTCAAAAATAAACAAATAAATAAAGCAATCAAATGCTTAATGTGCTGAGCTGTACAAATTTACAAAAATGATCCAGACAGTGGTGTCACACACCTTTAATCCCAGCACTCAGGAGACAGAGGCAGGCGGATCTCTGAGTTCAAGGCCAGCCTGGTCTATAGAGTGACCAGGGTTACACAGAGAAACCCCATCAGAAAGAAAGAAAAGAAGGAAGGATAGAAGGAAGAGGGAAGAAGGGAGGAAGGAAGGAAAAGGGAAAGAAAAAGGAAGAAAGGAAACAAATTTGTAAAAATGGCCAAATACTGACAGGTTCACACTGCCGTAGCAACTACGGAGTGGTAGTCATGCCATCAGAGAGGCTGCCTGGTGGGGTGACTCAGCGCGGAGTCTCCAGGGCATGGCCTGAGTTTCAATAGAGCCTCAGCCTCTTTCAGCTCAGGCCACAGCTCAGCCTTTTATTGCCTGTAACAGGGATAATGATGTAGAGAGCTGGACTGCTAAACTCCAATCATGGGCAAACAGTAGGTGTTGGCTAAAGAAATGACTGAAGCACCCTGCAAGTGCAGTGGGCGTCGGAGGAGGCAACTGTGTGTTCCTGAGAAGGGTGAGTCATGTTTGCCAGGCAGAGGTGGCTGGGGTCAAGGGGTTTGAAGCTGAAAAGCTGAGGAGACTCTGGAGAAATGGGAGGTGAGCCAGGGTCTAAGAGGAGTGAACTATTTAGCTTGAGAATCTGGGCCGATCCCAGGGACCACCACCGAGCTTGAAGTGGAGAGCCGTGATTATGTTCTTTTCCAGAAAGGTCACCTCAGCCACCAACTGAAGATGGAGTGGGAGACAAAAGGAGGCCGAGGCAACCAACAAAAGTGGCAAAGCTACAACACCAGGCGGCAGTGTAGGAAGGGAAAGCAGGGGTAGCTGTGAGAGGGGCTTCTGAGGTGCTAGCTGCCCGGCTGGCAGCTGTTAGGTATTGAAGCCTCAGGCTCGTGTTCCAAGTGGGTGAACACAGACAGCAGGAGTCACCCACGAGAGGAGAGATCAGGGCAAGAGAGCATCAGGGAAGGTGGTAAGGGCATGGGAGCCCTGGTGTGTGGGCACCACAGAACGCTGCAAAATCGCAGAAAACAAATCTCAGTGTAGCGGGCTGTGTGGTGAGGCTCTGAGACTTCACAACTGGGGAGGGAGCCGGGTGGTTTTCTGCAGGTGTTGACGTAGATGCCCACGAGAAACATGAACAGAGGAGGTAGGTGGCTCTGCTCCCAAGAGATAGTGGAGTGAGGAACAGCGAGACTGTGGGCATGGTGTCTGAGCACAGCAAGGGAGGAGGTGCAGGGAGGTGGTGTGGCTGCTGAGCACAGGGGAGAGTCAAGAGCGGATGTCTGGGGGTTGTGGGGAGAAGATTCAATAAATAGCACAAGGCAGATCGAGTGGAAGACCGAAAATGGGTCATTGGACTTAGCAACTTGGTGACTAACAGGCCTTGGCTAACGCAGTCTGGCGATGTGTGACGGAAACAGAGCTGCAAGGTCACAGTCAAAATTTACACCTTGAGGTGAGGAAGTAGAGGGTGAGTGTGAGCCACTGCTTCAGGTGCTGAGCAAGGGCCCTCACCCAGAGCAGTGTGGCTGGGGTCATCTGCAAAGCTTA